CCCAGCCCGGCCTTCCGCGCCAACTGCCACAGAGAGGTCGGGCGTGGCCCCGCCCCCACGCAGAGGGCCCGCCCCATGCAGAGGCTCCGCCCACGGTGTGATCTTAACCACGCCCCCTCCACCCGGGGAGGGTTACGGGGCTGGGGGGGTGTCAAAAATCCAGGCATCAGTGGGTCTACAAATTTAAACCAGAAGTTTGTTTGTTTTCTTGTTTTGTTTTGGTGGTACCGGGGAATCGAACTCGGGCCCTTGTGCTTGCGAGGCAGACAGCAGAACCACTGAGCCAAATCCCCGGCCCTGAGCCAAACTTTTTAACAAGTGGAAAGTGTAACATATAACTGCACAACGGAGTATAGATAAATGAAGGCAGATAAATGAGTAATACTGTGATTTCATGTATGAGAGGTGGTATTGATGGAGTTATGATGGTGGCCACCGCTCTGGCTGGTGAACCCGGAGGACACATAAGTGAGATTGGGAAAGTCCTTTATCTTCATCTCGGTAGTGGCTGTAGAGATGGATTCATTTAGGAAAATTGATGAAACTGTACACTTAAGATTTGTCCAATTTTCTGTATGCACATAATACAAAACTTGCAGCCTTGCAGCTTTTAATCAGATAGTGCAACTTTTCCACAGATCATCTCAGGTGGTGCAGGGTTAGTGTGTCCCATTCCTGTCTCTGGATCAGAAGCATCACACAAAGCTAGCTAATAATACTCAGCCCTTTGAATTCGATTCCCAGCACCACCACCCCCAAAAAAGAATACTCATCCCTGGGGCTGGATGTCACTCAGTGATAGAACACTTTTTTGCATGCATCAGGCCCTTGGTTCTATCCCCAGCACTGAGAAAAGAAAGGAAGGAAGAAAAGTAGGATGGGAGGAAAGACGGAGAGAGGAGGATAAAAAAGAAAATACGGACGACTGGCTTTATCTCAGGGCCTGCCACACAGTAAACATTCAAACACAACCATCGAGGTGTTCTGGATGCTCACAAAGGAGTACCCAGCCCAGCCTTAGGGAGCGTGAAATACTGTATCACCTGGCACCCTCCAGAAATGGGATGAGCCGAGGCTTGCCCATTAGTTATATATACTGTGCAACAACTGCCACCTACTTTGCAGCTTAGCACAGTAGTGGCAAAACTATGGCACACATGTTATTTATTTTTCTTTTAAGACAGAAGATGTCAATGTATGAACTGTTTTTTCTAAACTAAAACCTCAGCGGTGTTGGCCTTTTCCGATAAATAAGTGGGTTTTGGGTTGCAGTTTGGGGACTCATCTCTAAAAATTCGCCACCACTGGCTTAGGACAATATGTACTTGCTCACATTGTCTGTGGGTCAGGAATCTGAGCATGGTTCCTCTGCGTCTAGGTCTCCCACAAGGCTGCAAGGAAGTATCAGCCAGGGCTCCCATCTTATCTGAAGGCACATCTTTAAAAAAAAACATCAGGGCCCAGAATTTAGCTCAGTGGCACTGCCCCTGCCTCGCAAGGGCAAGGTCCTGAGTTTGATCCCAGGTATCAAGCAAAGAAACAAAGCACACATGAGGCCCCTGGGTTTCCACCCCAGCACCCCAAACAGTTCAGTTTCCTTATGATTATTGGACTGAGAGCCTCTGTTCCTTCATCAGAAGCGGCTCTCAATGCTTCATCACATGGACTTTTCCATCACGGTAGCTTTTGTCATACAGGCTGGGGATAGGGAGTGCTCACTAGGAAGACAGAAGTCACAATTTTACCTGATCCCGAAAGGAATGTCACCTTTGCCATGTCCTTTTGGTGAAAAGCAAGCCACAGGTCACCTGGCACGGTGGCACACACCTGTAATCTGAGCACTCTGGAAGGATCACAACTTCAAGCCCTATCTGGGCAATTTAGCAATTTAGTGAGTCCCTGTTTCACAATTTAAAAACTTTTTTTAAAGGGCTGTGAATGTAGCTCAGTGTGAAGGCCCCTCAATTCCCAGTGTGCGTGGAGGGGGCAGCAACGTTATAGGTCTCTCCCAGAGGGGTTTACGCAAAGGCTTGAATACCAGGACGTGGGGATCAGTTGGGGCCATTTTAGCATCTACCTGCCACTTGAGGGACACCCACCTACCCAGGTCTGTAGCAGAGGAAGAAGAGCAAAGACATAAAAGAAATTATGAGAATAATGACGATGTTTCTCATATCCTTGCTTCATCCCAGGCGATGGGTGAAGCTTTTTACCTGTATTATTTCTCTGACCCTTTTAAAGGAATCTGAAGAGGTAGAGACTGTTGTTACCAGAGTCACAGAGCTAGTGAGTGAGTAGGACAGGGATAGGACTCAGGTCGGTGTGATTCCAGAGCCAGCCCTCATAACCTTCCTACCAAAAGCCTTCCCAAGCTACGTAGGGCAAGCCTTGGGACTCTGGCCGAGTGCCACAGCTGAGTCAGGACAGTGTACACACTTGCCTTTATTGTCATTGTTACTGTTTTTGGCAATACTGAGGGTAGAACCCAGTGAGAGCTGAGCTACATCCTCAGCCTTTTTTAATATTTTTATTCTGAGGCAAGAGCTCATAAATTACCCAGGTTAGGCTTGAATTTGTGATCTTCTGGCTCAGCCTCCCATGAAGCTGGATTACAGGCCTGTACCACTCAGCCTGGATATTGCTGTCGTTTTGTTTGTTTGTTTTGTTTTGAGACAGGGTCTCACTATGTAGTTGAGGCTAACCTGGAACTCACTGTGTAGCCCAGGCTGGTCTCAAACTCACAGCGATCCTCCTGCCTCAGCCTCCTGAGTGCTGGGATTACAGGTGTGTGCCACCATGCCCAGCTTGCTTTTTTTTTTTAAGACAATCTGATCTTCCATTGACAGAAAAGAGAGAGAAAAAAGTACACATGGAAGGGACAGAAAAAAAAGTGCCAAAAACTTGTTTTTTTCTCTCCAATACCTATTGGGCATGCAGGAAATACAATCTGTATCTTGGTGACTAGTTAGAAGGAAATAATATGTAGGTAAGGGGAAAAAATGAGAATCAAGACTTGTTATGTAGAGGTACAAGATCCCAACAATGAATGTAACTGTACTGTATCCCTAAAATGTACCAATAAACTCAATTAAAGCTGAAAAAAAAAAAGAAGCAAAGGCGAATATTTTGAAGGGGACTAATGGCAACTTATTGTAATAAAAATTGTATTTAAAAGCAAATATTTTGATCACCCTTTGTAATTGTCAAACAAAATTGTATATATTCAAAATTTACAATGAGATGACTTGATATA